GTTGTATTCAAATTGTTTCACAAATTTTTCAATTTCACAAAATTCAATGCCTTTATTTTTTTCAATGCAATACAATGTTTGAAAGGTTAGTTTATTTAGTGTAAAATTTCTTTGTACATTGATAATTTTCTCATTGTTTTATCAGTGTTCCAGAATAATTGGCTATACATTTTAATTTTTAACTCTATTTGTTGTATTTTTATTTTTTCCGTTATTTTTGCAAAATATATTAGCTTTTTATTTTTTAAGGAGTTATTTAAAATTTGTTTAATTGAACTGAATTAGCACCCATAGCAGTGAAAGTTTAGCAGCTGTGTAAATTAATTGCATTATGCTTTATATAAAATATGCTAAAAATGTGAACATATATTCAATACTTTTCATTTAGCTATTTTTACCCCTCTATTTTTTTATTATCGATATTTTGGAATTGTCAACTAAAATCATTTATATAAAAGTTAGTTTGCATTTTCATATTAGCATATATTCATATAACAATGTATAACAATGATGATTATAATATAACAATGATAATTATAACAATTATGCAAAAATGAATATGTAAATTGAATATATGCCAATATTTAGCTCATACATTCAGAAGACGATAGAGCCATGAAATTGATTACTTATAAGATATTTGTGCTATGCAATTCTTATGGTATCTTAATTACAGTAAGTAAATTATCGTTTTTTAAATGATTGATTAACAATATCATAAGAATGCTTCTCTGTTTTAAGCTACCGAACATTATATAGAGATTTTAATGATTCCTGCCAAATTCTGCAATCAGCGACGCATTACCAATTAATTCAGTAAAGCTTATTCCATAGATCCGGAATAGCAGAAGAAACTCGAAATATTGATCCTAAAATAAGGGACGAATATTAAAATATTGATTTTCAAAAAGTTATTTAACAAATTTATTGGTTTGATATGAAAAGATCATTATTGCTATTTTAAATAAGTAAAAGATATTTAAGGATGCAATAATTATTATCATCGAAATAAGTTTTATTTTTGTGATAACAGAAATTGTAAAATTGTTAACATTTTATAAATGAAAAAAAGAATTAGCTAAATGTATGATTAATATTGATAAATTACAATGAATATATATTAGAATAGAAAATAATTGAAATAATTATTTTACATATTTTAAAGGAATTGTGTAATAATCTAATCATTGTATAAATAACAAAAATTATTTTAAATTTGATATAAAGAAAAGATGAAAAGATCAAATTTAAGCTATTTGATTTATATTTATGTAAAGAATTAAAAGGAAAAAATGTACTGCATCTTTTAAAATAACAATATATTTTATCATTTTATCACTTCTCATAATTTCAAAATAGTTATCAGATAAGAAGTCAATATGTTAATCAAAATAGTCATCGGATAAGAAGTTAATGTGTTAATCAAAATAGTTATCAGATAAGAAGTCAGTATGTTAATCAAAACAGTTATCAGATAAGAAGTCTGAAAGGAATATAAAATATGTTAATTGTTGCAATTCACGTAAAAGTAAGAACTTACTCTTATGCATCAATAATTTGCATATGGTAACAATTTTGAAAAAAATATTCCTTTCTGGTATAACAGTAATAAGAAATAATATATATGATAAGAAATGATAATGATTCTCTTCCATTTGATTATCATTAATAGCTAAGATTAGAAGTCTATTCTTGTTGTTATCAATTGCGCATTGCGCATAATTGTGTTATCAATTGCGCACATTCTTTTTTTGATAATTTTCACTGATAAAATTAATTGCATTTTTTATTTACAATAGAAAATTTTGAAATAATAAATAATTTTGGATTGCACATAAAATAGGAAAAGTTATTATTCTCATTTAAAAAGGTATTATTCTCAATTTGAGCTTTAATAACACCTGGGAAAAAAAAGACTACCAATTAATATTACCTTTATTGTTACCTTACAATTAACCTTATCAGCTATAATATAAATAATTCATATTAAAATATCACCTCAGAAACTACGAACATCACAATTTATAAAAAATTAACTGTGAAGATTTGTTAAAATTTATTTCAAAGAAAAGGTAAAATGGAAAAAGTCAATGATTTTACAATTTCCTAAATTTGTACATTAAAATTGTAATTTTCAAAATTCCTTTTTTTAATTAATTATTAATTATTTATTGTTTTTTATTACTAAATTATTTTTATTTTTTACATTGAAAATTTTATTTTATGTTTAATCTTTTTGTTTTTGCGAAAAGATTGACTAAAAGTACATTGAAATTATTGTTCGGTTTCTTTTTGATTATGTAATATTGAATTTATGATTTGGAATTAACTGAGAATAATTTCTTTTGAAAAAAATTAAGAAGCAAAATTCTCAGTTATTATTTTAGGAGAGATGCATGGGAAAAATTCTTTTCAATCGTTTGAATTTTTCAAATTTTTATTTTAGTTAATTAAATTAACAAATTCCTTCATTCTCTATTATTTTGCTTAACATTAGAAATGTTAAATATTTAATTATTGTTAATTGCTTAAATATTTAATTAAACAATTAAATAAATCATTCGACAATTTAATTGTGAAATTAATTAATAATTATGAAACTTTTGAAATTAATTGATAATTATAAAACTTTCTTACTATAACTTTTTGGATCATTAAAATTATGCGTTCATTGATATTATAATGTTTTATGCTATTAATCATTGATGTTATAGCAATATATGCTATAAATGTTTATACAATCGATAGCATTCATTTCAAATCTCCAATATGCTAATAATTTGAAATAAAATGATCGATAAATATAATTAATTCAAATTTCATGAAATCAAATTTTCATTTATTGATTATTCATTGCATTCATGCAATTTCAAATCGATCAATCATATTAATTTGAATGGAATCATTTGCAAGCTATTCGTTTTAAAAAAACCTCTTCATTATTTCAATTCATTACTAATAATAATGACAGTTGTACAAATAAAAGTTAAATCAAAAATATCGCATTTCATTTTACATTTCGAAAATTTGTTTATTCATTGAAATGTATTCATTCATTACATATTTCTTTCATTTCATTTATTTCATCATTTTAAGCATTGATTTTTTATTAAACCAAAAATGTATTTTCTTCATATTCCTGAAATTGAAAAATAAATCGAAGGAAAAAAGTTTTTCCAACTTATAATTATTATTTTATTTTGAAATCGATCTCATTGACTGATTTCATTTCATTTTATTTCATTTTGAATTTTTGATTATTGAACTATAATGAAATGCTTTTTATTTTTGTATTATATTATATGTATATGATTTGTAATGCCTTTTATAGTATTAATAAATGAATAGTATTCAATTGTTAGTATTTTTAAATTTAATAATTAAATTTTAGTACCGTAATTTAACAATATTTTATTACCATAATCTACGGTATTTACAGTATTTCGCTACCGTAATCTACGATATCTACAGTATTTACTACTGTAACCTACAACATATGGAAAATAATTTTTTAAATTGTAAAAAATTTAAATATATTGAAGGAATTTCTAATGAATGAAATCAATCATATAAAAGATTTTGAAGATAGTGAAGAGGAATGAACGGTAATGAATTTTTGATCTAAGAAAAGTAATTTGGAGATATTCGATATCAGTTCATAGGTTGCGGGATACTTTGTATTGATTTACTAATATTAATTAGAAGTTAAAAAGAAACCACAGACTTGAAAATTCTTAATTTATCATTTTTGTTAATAAATTTTTTCAACATTAGGAAAATTAATACAATACAAATGTATTATTTATTTACATTGAAGGATTTTTACATTATTTATTCTTATTTTTATTGATAAACAAAATTGATATGCTTATCAACCGAATTAATATTATCCGGTATCGATTTATACTTGGAAAAAGTCTTCTGGTGGGATTTCTGGAGTAACTTTGCAATATTTATTACATGTTTAAATTTTACTTCTGGTTAACCTATTCCATTCCTTATTTCACTTTTCACTTTAAAATCCATACATTATAAATGTGTAAAGTTTAATTTCCTATATGTATAACACACGTAATACGTGTATATCTGACGTGAACTATTAAAGATCATTTTTTGATTTAAATAATGGCAAACAAATTTATGAGCAGATTTTGGGATACGTACGTATTTTACGTCAATTTTATTGCAAAGCATCCCATATAAAATGTACAATTTATCATACAATCATAACATTTTTGAGTAAAAAAGAAAAATTGAAAAAAAATTTGAAAAAGACAAAAGATAGCGGAAGAACGATCGATAGGTTATGATCGATCGAATTAAACGAATTGTTAGAACGAAAGAATAAGCATTTCAACAAATGGGTAAAAAGCACATGTAAACAAACAAAAATTACTTTTTCAACAACTTTATTGCCTTTTCCAATCTTTATTTTATGTTACTTTTTTAAGTACCACACTTTAAGGAGGAAAGGATAAATAGAAATGATTTATCGATCCTTTTTTTCTTGATATCTGAATTTAAATACTGAATTTATGATCGATTTATTTGATTAATTATTATTTGATAAACAAATTGATTATGATGATTTGCTGTTTTATTCATTTATCATTAATTAATGCTATTATGCTATTCATATAATTAATTTTATGATTTTAAGCTTATACCATATACTATCACATATTTCTTCTATAAGCTTAATTTATTAATTTGATTAAAGAAGCTTTACCAGTAAGATTGCGATATTGAAAGATTTTCCTGTAAATTAAAAAATAAAATTAAAATATTAATGATATGAAAGATATAAATTTAAAGCATCAAAAAAATACAAGGAATAATTAAATTTTAATAAATCAACCAATATCCCTATCTTCTAATATTATATTGATCCGGAAAATTTTTCAAAACCATTGGAATCTATACATTTGACCGATTTACGTTTGCTATTGTTTCAGCAAAATTTATCAAATTAAAAATAAATAATCAAAATCTACAGAGAAATGTCATTGTTCAATCAAGTGAAACATAGTGTAGTGAAGGCACTACAATTCAGTACCGATGGCTATATATTTGAGATTCCGGAATGTGCCGAATTGACGAAAACGGATAAAATTTCTATCAAAGTAGCGAATGATACTCAAATGTAATTATTATGCAATATTGATTTGATACATTATTGTCGTTCGTCAAAATTCAACTATAGAAGTTAACATTGAAAAGAGAGAAAAATCGTATTTAACTATCTAATAATATATCCATTATCAGCGATTTAAATGATTATCAATTAAATCAATAGTGAATTACCAATGATAATTCATTGCTAATCATTTTCAAAAGATTCATTGGGAATGTTTGCATGCAAAATCTCACTATTACTGCATTGCATTCAATTATTTAGCAATATTTTTAATTCCGATGATACATTGTTTTAAGATGTTATAAATAATTTATAAGTTAAAGTTAATGAAATAAATTTCTAAACTGATATTTCATTAATTTTTTCAATCAATAATTCCTATTATTCAATATTGTATTGTAATTTAGTATTTACAACTATAACTTTTCTTTTAGGATTAAAGCAAAAGTGGATTATATTGAACATCACATTGCAAATTTTAATATTCGCTTTTTGATACGAGACGAAAGGAGGAATAAGAAAACAATTATGTCTGCTAACATGATTTCTGGTACGGTATGTTATTAATTCATTCATTTATTTATTTCACAAATCAATTATCATTATTAGTTAAGTTAAAGGATATATCTTTGTTAGTTAAAGTATATATCGGATAGACGGGGTAAATGAAAATTATAGGATAAATGTTAAATGTGAAAAATACGAAAAGAAATTTAAAATTAAATTATCTATGATTTTTCTATACTTTCTAACAAACATTTCAACTTAACAACATTTTGCCATTTTTTCTTAATTTAATTTAATTTAAAATAAAATAATATATTTCGTTATTATTGCTATAAAATTGAAATGATAAAGTGTATAAAAAACGAAAAATAAATAATTCATTTTGTTTATTTATAAATTTGAAGATTCTATCATTTCTTATTTTAATTATTGAATTAATTATAGGTTATGGTTTTGAAGTAAAGAATGCAACAGGTAGACGAATAATGGATATTAAAATATCAAATAATACAGCTTCATCATCAATTGGAAAAATTATCCATCCTCTCAGTATTACAATTTATAAGGTAAGTAAGTATTGGAAAAGTATTAATTACAGCTGTCGATATTTTAACTAATTAATAATTTCATTTTACTCAATTAATACTTCTTTATCTTATAGGTTTAGGCATGATAATTACCTTTCATAGATCAACGTAATTATACAATTTATTCACGTTGTAATAGATAATGACTTTCTTATCTTTTCTCATTCAGTCTTGATTTATGATCAACAAATATTACCCTTTTTTTATCAGAAAGTTTTTAAATCGAATCATATCGATAAAAGGAAATCAGATTAGAACAGTTTTTCTATAATGCTTTAGCGATACTTATCAATGAATGAGTAATGCTTTGTTTCATAACTCATTATTCTATTTATCGAAGGTATTGTATGATAACATGGAGACAAATAATCATCGTTTTCAAGTGCATCATTTATCATCAGATCAATCGGTAATTAATGTCGAAAAGGTACTTCTCTGTCTTCAATAATTATTAAAAATTAAAATGACTTAATGAAAATTTATCAATGAATTAGTTGCATTTATTTATTTCTATTATCTTCCAAATGAAATTTCCATTAGTTTCCACAATTTTATTAAACTATTTCATTATGTAAAATTTCATCGATCGCGCTGATAGAATTTCAGTTAACAACATTTACAGATTTCTTTGTCGATATATCCAATACTTAAAATGATTGGAATACTTGAAACTGAATGCATATATCAGTTCAAACGTGTGGATGGTGTTGAACTAGCACGTGTTTATCCTAAAACTGTTTTAAACGGCAGGACGCTTATTTTAAAATATAAGTAAGTGCAAGATTAATTAATTTAATTTCTATCTTTCCCTCTTCGAATGAATTTAAGCTAATTTCTTCAACAATATATACTAAAATATTGCTTTGAATTGATTCAAAAATTTCATTAATTTACAGAATGATGCAACTTAGCGCACAAATGCGTGCAGTAATTTTGGGTACATCATTAATGCTTGTCTTGCATGAAGTATATCCGGATATTGGAATGTATTAGCAGCAATAATTGTAAGTATTGGGAAGTGATGAAAGCACGAATATCTAAGGCGTATGATATTGTGATTTTATTTATATCATTGTTTCAGGAATTATTCCAAGTCCTCCAATGAAATTTGACAAGATAATGTAAATTTTTTTCTAGCAATTACGAACGATATCATTGTTATTCAAAATTTTCTTTATAGTTGCAATTGCATGTATAAATATGTTTGAAATTTGTTCACTTTTTTCCAAATTATATTTTTCTTTCAATTAAATAAACCAAATTTTGTTTTGATATAATTAGAATAATTAGAGATAATTAAAATAATTGGAACTTAGTTTAGTTAAAATTTTTTAAAATGTAACATTTTTGATTAAAATCTGCAATGTGTTGCAATCTAAGTTATAACCGATATAATAAAATATCCTAATAAAAAAATTACATAGCTAATTAATCAATTCGTAATATTGAAATAAATTATATAAATAATTAATCAACTTGTATTTTAATCAGTTTGTATCTATCTTATGAATATGTGTATGATTTGTATCATTATTATCAGATTATCAATTCAAAAGAAATATTCATAGATTTTTTTTTCGCTGATTATCCGATACATATATTCATAAGATATCTTTTATCCACAATTCTTCATCTTCCCTTCCGGTGGATTATATTGAGAAAAACAGTAAATGCTATTATTTGGCAAACAATTTGTTCGATTATTTTTTTAACATATAGCATTTAAAAACTAAGAAATAAAAATTATTTAAAATACAACGAAAAAAAAACGAAATCCTAAAATATCATTTTATCATTTCTTATTGAGTTTTCCCTTCGTGATAAGTGTATCCGTTTCATCTTCAAAAATTTCCACAACAATTTTCTAAATCTTTTGCAAATCAATCGATATTCAAAAGTTTAAAGCATAAAAATGATTGATGAAGCTTTGAAATCAATTAATGGAATTGTTATTAAAATTCAAAAAGGATTTGTTCATTTGTCGAACATGTAATCATAATTATAATATGTAATCATAATTTCGAAATATGTAATCATAATTTGTTAAAATTTCAAACAATTAATATTGATAAAAATTTTTCTTTGAATACTTCTGATATGAATCAAATGTTTGTGCAAGAAAAATGTCAAAAAAAGTTCGATATATGTCAATACGGATATCACGGACTGATATTTGATGATCGCTTTTTTCAATAAAACAAAAATTCTGTTTACGAACTGTTGAGACATTTTACTTGAAATATTTCTTGTTTTATTTCTGTTTAATCTAACAAATATGTTGCATTATGTCCAAAGTTCTTAAAGATTAGGAAGTTTTTGGAAATAGCCAATATTCAAAAGTCGAATTATTAATTAGTCAATTAATATATTTATAATGTTTTTGCTATTTTAAAGATATCGGTGCTATTAGTAAAGTGGAACGAATTACATTGTACAATTGCAAATTTCACAATCATAAAACAATGATTTAAATAAAATTTCTAAAGAACGAAATATGTTAAATAACGAAATATGTTAAATAACGAAATATGTTAAATAACGAAATTGTTTTTATACCCAATTGTTAAGAATTAGGATATTACAAAAGAAATCCTTTTTCTATCTCTTTAAATGATTAGCTTCAGCTTTTAAATTAGAGATTGCTTGTAGAAACGGAAGTCGAAGAGTTGACCAGATCCAAAATTTTCACTATTATTTTAGCAATTAATTATCAGTGACAGAAAAATTAGATCAACCCTAGTACAACACCTGATCGTGAAGGTCAAAGGACAACTAAAATAAGATATTGAAATGAATAAAGTTTCTTGCTTTCTGTTATCTGAAAATCTCACTCCCTTCTTCACTATTATCCATGAAATGTACTGTTTATAGCTCTACATTCAGGTTTTTTGGAGATCGGATTTCAGCTTTTATGATTGGTTATTTTTGCAGTAAAAATATGCTTGATTTTAATGGAGCTATAAATTGGCGAATAAACCGATCGGAATTTCAATCGAATGAATTCATCAGAATTTCAAATTACATTAGACTATGAATCAAGTAAGTAAAAGATTGCTTTCCCTTTCGATTTTTTTATACGCTCTCCCATGATTAATCATATTTTAAATAGAGATATTGTATCATTTATCATTTACCAAGAAATATTTCATAAGTTTAAAAAAAATAAGTCACTGTTGCAAGGAAAAGAAAGAATGCAACTTCACGACCATCGGATCTCAAATGAAATCTATCCCTTTCACGATGCTATTATCCATGCAAATTTTGATTCTTCTAAATTTTATTGAAAGCAATACAAGCGCTATTGCAAAATTAAATCATTCATTTGATAACATCATACATGATAAAAAAGAAGGAAAAATATAAGAAACAGGAAGTAATTATGAATTTGATCTATGAATATGAAGATATTAAACTCCTAAGTTTTTCTTAACAATCTCACCTTTTACCTTCTTCGAATCTTTTTTAACATGTATAAATCTATATTTCCTTACACCCAAGAAGTGCAATTGCATATGCGTGCATGCGAAATTGTTTACAGGCATATGAGTGCACGACAACGAGAACAGAAACAGAACAACACAACCGAAAATAGAATCAACAAGAATTTGGGTAGAAAAAGGAACAGAAAATTATAAACTTGAAAAGAATATTTGCTGGAGAAGACTTACGCTTTTCTATTGGCAAATTTTATGAATGATCTATTTTCATAAGCCAAGAAAATACTCCACAATTTTCATTTTTTCACTAATACTTTATAAGTTTCAAGAAAGAAAATAAATTAAAGATCGTAACAAGTAAAGTCCTGTCCACGGAGGGAAAAATAATACAAAGTGCCTATTCAAAATTGCAAAAAAAGCTTTCATAGGATAGATAATTTTCTTTTGCTCTCTAGAATTAATTTTTCTTGAAGCCCAGTCAATAGCACATATATTGCATTCATTTTATACTGCATTGTATAAATGACTCTATTTCATAATATTTCTGCTCAAAAAAACAATCCCGAAAATAACTTTAACTTAACAAAACTTTCAGGTACCATAATAACGGCAACCTACAAAAAAGCAACTATCAATAACGATAGAATATTGAACCTAAATTAAAAAATTTTTTAACATATAGCTGAAGATTTACAGGGAAGAAGAAATTACAAAAAAACATATAAGTGATTTGATTTAAAATAAAGAAACCATATGAGATAAAAAATACTTCTAGAATCCGACTCGTACCTTAGTAGCAGGCAATTAATTCAAACATAACATAATTTATTTCGCCATCAGGACTGGACCTATTGAATACTGTCATTTTTAGTTACAAGTGCTGAATTAAATTCTCCCAGATAATTGAAAATTTAAAAAATTGGAAGAAAACGTTTTTTTAAGCAAATGTCTTTAATATTGAATAAGAATTATCTTACAATGATATTGCTATCAGCTCTTCACCACTATAATTTCTCTTACCATAAAAGGCGATAGAAAAAGAGTGGAAAAAGAAAGAAAGCTGTTGTTTCAAATTACCCGAAACCATTTTGCTTATATTCAACTAACGCTAAATCAGTCCTTTGGCTTTTTCTATTAACATTTCCAAGTTCATCAACAGTAACGGTTGCATCGAATTGTTAACGTCATCCGACAACTTTTATCTGCAACTTAACTTCGTTTTATACAATAAAGCCAATTCGAAATAACGATACAAAAAAATTAGATGATTTCGACGTTCAACGTAAAATTCAACCAACATCGATACCAATTTCAAATCTGACATTATCATGAATTAAACAGAAATTTGATCTAAATTACAATACGAGGAAGAATCTAACATGAATTGACGCTTGTATAACACTTAAACAATAATGGATTTGTTTCGTTGTCTCAAAATCGAATATTCTGTTTTTTTTACCTTTAATTATTAGCTAACTAACTCTTACTAAAGCTTATCCTAAAATTGTCTGAGTTTGAGTGCTGCCTCTTTCATTACCATTTCAAGCAGGCTTTTCATTTCAATTACTCAGAAGATTAGTTAATAAACACTGTAAAAAATTAATTGAAAATGAAGAAAAAGAGAAAAGAAGTAGCAATGTACGTGCATATAAATATATGAACAAGCACAAACACATCTAGCAATAAACGAAAATCCATATGTTAGTGCCTAACACATTAATTACTAATAGCTAATAGGGTTTTCGTTGTGTAATAAAACAAATGAATCAGGCAGTTCAACGAGAAAAAGGGATATAACCATTTCCAAAACTTGCGTAAAAGGACAGGACAGGAATTAAACGTAGGATGAAACGATTAAAATGTAATAACATTCAAAAAAGCTATTACATCTCCTCCGATGGTAAAAAAAGGAATTTAACGTGAAAGCAAAGGCGAATCAAACGCACATGCAATTTATTTGCAGAAATACATCAAAATAATTAACACTAGTACATTTATTTACCTAGTGAACCACCAATTAATTATGGTTAATATATACAGTCAGCTGTGGTTTATAAGCTAAAAGGTTAAAGTCAATGATCATGGAGCTATATTAGAACGAATTTTCAACCGAAACAGCCTGATACGTAATCACAAGTTTACGAAGTTAGGCAGTTAAGAAAATCGTGCAGGGACCATCATGTAAAAGAGCACGAATATTGAACATGTATTACCAAACCTAAAAGTTCAGTACGAATAAATTATGAAAGGGAAGAAAATGTGTTTCAAAAAAGTGAAAACATTAAAATTAACAGCAAAAAAAATGAAAATAAGAGCCAGTTCATCGTAACCGCTCCTTACCCTTCATGATTTTCGCTCTAACCATAATTATCACCGCCAAGATCATATGCACTTCTATTTTTCATACGTAGTTCGGCTCTTCCATTGTCATGTCTCTGCGCTCCATTTATTACTTCAAAAAGTTTAGATGCTTCAGAAATAAGCTCCAACTTTCGTTTACGTTCATTTTCTAATTGCATTTTGAGTTGCTGCAACGTGAAAGTGGTTGGCAAAATAGGCTTGAAGGCTTACAAACATGCACCACAAAAATTATGCATTCCATCACAAAATCCATTGGCAGAATCACTGAAATGGTAATTTCTATTTCAGCGAATAAGGCTTAGATTAGAAGGAGTATGCTCGAAGTATCAAGTTTTATATCTTATATTTTACTGCTCTATCATATGCACTTTAAAAAGATTTACAGAACCTTCTACACAAAAGATATAAATATTATCCTAAAAAATGGGCATGTATCATCACCAATTATAGTTTGTGGAGGAATAAAATTAGTACTCATTTGGACTTTTGCGACAGATGGTGATTTGAATCATTGTTTTGTATACTATTACTTTATTAAAGCAAGCAAAACGCATTGAAGCATGATGCAATTGGTGAAAGCAGTAAACAACAAAACAATAAAAATGGAGAGCTTTGGCAGCCAAACATGCTGTTAGTATACATCAAAGTCGTTTCAGAATTTTAAGATATAACAATAGATTGAACCATACTTCATTATTGCACCGTTATCTTCAATTCTTTGCTTATAAAGTTTCGGAAAAAAGGTCTGAAAACTTCATTTTGCCAGGAAAAAAGTACATAGGAATCGAAACAAACCTCGTTTATATCATGTCGTAAGCGAGAGATTTCGCCAAGATATACTTTTTCCATTGAAATGGCTTCTTGTTCGATTGCATCAATGTGTGAAGACTGTAAAGGCATTCACAAAAAAACTGATAACCTATTACAACTCATTTCGCACTATGTTATATATATTAGGAATTTCTTACAAACGGAAATGATATAATCAAAGAAAGGACAGCATACCAGTCGATTTTTTGATCACCAAACATTTTAATTATTACAACTAATCAAAATCTTACTTGAAAAACAGGTAATATCTTTCTCACCGCTGTATAAGAAGTTAACAAACTATTTGCAATAACATTAATTATAGTTTTTTATAGTTAGCAATGGAAACTTACAAGACTTGCAAGCGCTGCTCGATACCTTCGATTACTTGCCTTTAGCTCTGCAACTTTCGCCAAATTGATCTTATTTTCGCTGCCATCGTTTTCATTTTCATTGAACTTCTTAAATGTACCATATAAGTAAATTTTTTCCTCGTAAATCGATCAAGAAAACTTTCAACAGCGCATCATCTAACGATTTAGATTAGTCTATCCGTTTAAACACTGGCCAACAAACAATAATAGTAACTCTTTCAATTCTTTTCTCCAAAAAAAAAAAAACTCCCCGACCTCTATATTCCTGCTCTTTTGTACCACATTTTCTACATCCTTCAACCATTTGTAGAACTGATCCATGTTATAAATAACAGGTAAATTTGGCAACTTCGTATTCGACGGTGCGATTGCACAGAGCGCCTTGGATACATTACAACAATATTGCTGACGAGCTTTCTCATGATCTTTCTGCAGAAAAAAGTGTACATTCCATTCAACTCAAACTATGTACCAATAAAATTACAAACTTCTGGAATAATTTCACGTAATTTTTGCGAATTCCCACTATTTCTTCAAATTTTTGAAATATTGTTTTTCATCAATCTCTTTCTTCATTTACAACCAAATCAAATCTACTCGTCCAACTTTAGATTCACCTCCAATTCTTCCACGTGCTTCTTGAAAATGACTTCTTGCTGCTGCGAAATTTCTACAACCTTATAATTTGCCGCACGTAACTCCTTAAAAAATATCACATTACTTGAGCAGATGAGAACTTCGAACTGACTTGCTGGAAGAAATTATCTGGACATAAAAATTAACAGCATATATCTTCCCGTACTGGGAGCATAATCTTGATGATTCTAACTTGGAGAGCTGAACCAAATAGAGCTTAATTCAAATGAAAGGTATAATTTCACATGTATATTTCTTTCTGCATTTTATCTCTATGTATTTGCTGAGTTCAACCAATTTTCAGAAATAGCTCTTACGATACATGGAACTTAGAGGGCTCTCTGAGTGCGAGTATATGATAAATATATGCCTGCCCACAATATGAAATATAAGTCGGAGTAAACTCTGTATTCCGGAACGCTATATTCCAATTTCATCTACAGCGTCATTGACACGATCACACTATTCAATGAAGTTTAATCAATTAACCTCGTTCCGCTTTTTCAATTCGTTGATCTCCAATTTAACATTGTCGCCATAAATTACAGCATCACTTTTTGATGATGACTGGACTCCATGCATCATCATCTATAATCGAAGATATTGCTCTAATAAGCCTGCTGGCTTATATGAATTTAAAAGGAGAAACTTGAATTTGATCAACGAAATTTCAAAGATCGAATTTTTTAGAATAGAAAGTTTAACCTCATATTCTGTTGAAACGATTTTACTGCGCTACTGATTTGCATATCAAACAGGTTTCCACAATCTAATATATTCCTCAATCTTATATAGCTGTTCTGGGTTAACTCCCTAATCTTATCTTAAGTCTCAAAATGTTTGATACCATCATCGAAGCACCCTTGCTGTCCATTTTAAGGTTTATAAGGAAAAGTTACAACAACATAAAAGGTTAGAAATACTTACTTTCTCATGTGCGCCCGTATCATCATAAGACACCACTGTTTCTCTGCAAAATGTCTTCATTTATGGCGAGATAAGGACAAATCTATATATTACTAACAAACAGAAGAGCACATTTCAATCTTGCCTCTATGAAATGAAATACCAAATAATATAATTTATTACATATCCCTGTATAACCAGCCTCTCACCTCAACAAAAAACCGGTAATATTATGAGTATGTAAGATTAATTCTACCAAAGAAACAATGTAGCCCACTTTTATCACGCAATGTTCCTAAATCTAAAAAACTCCACTTATGGCTTATAGCAAATTACAAAATCCTGAAGGAATATTACCTATTTTTGTTGTTCCAAAAATTTTTTCCTGCTAACCTTTCCATTTCAATTTTCTTGTATTTCGCGATTTCCTCTTCCAAAGAGACCATACGATTTAATTTTTCATTGTACTCGCTTTTAAATTTGTTCAACTCTTCACGGCACTTTGCAACTTCAATTGCTTCTTTAGAAATTCTTAAAAAGATGGCAATTAGGATAAAAGAAAGGCAATAATTTTCAATCTTTTGAGCTTTCATAAGCTCTAATTATTAAAACACTCTAGTATTTTTTAAAATAAAACCATAGTGTTTCACTTCAGTAAATCAATGATTACTTATACTTTAAATAAAGATATTACTAACTCGACAGACATCTGTTTAACATACTTTTCCTTCTCTTTTTGGATACATTCCATTTCATTCTTTAGTTTGGCAATTTCCTGAAAAAATAAGATATGACAGCTTCCAAGAAATTAGAAAAAAAAGATAAACTGCTGTAAAATCTACTGCAAAAATATGGCTAAGATAATCTCAAATTTCTTATCGTATTCTTTCAGCATTTACTGGCTATGTATATCATTACGAAAGTATAAATTTATTTTCTCTGAATTGGCACAAATTCTAAATTTAAATCTACTACGAAATACCGTATCGAACTTCGTTTTTAGATGGAAATGATGGGTCGACTGATGGTTAGTCATATTCTTTTCGCATTCTATTCTCAACATCCTTTCCAAATTATTCCCACAATGAAATCAGCGCAGGTAAAAATGGTTACATGCAAAGGAAAGGCTATTATAAAAAAACTACCTTATATTGAGCTTCCATAACATCAATAAGCTGTTTTCGATATTTTTCAACTTCTTTCGTTAATTCATTGCAGTTTGCATCACTAGTTGCATTTGCTTTTTGCAGTGCTTCTAGTTGATTGTTTAACTACAATAATCTCTTTAAAATAATGCTTAACCGAGAAACAAAAAAGTCGAAAGGCAAAACAAAGTTTTGCTATTTAAGTTTATACAAAATGAATACGGACGGCAAAAGCAATTAATCCGTTACCTCTGCGTTTGCAGTTTCCATTTCGGTTAATTTTTTGCTGTAAATAGCACAATCATTCAAATACCTAATGCGTTCTCGATTAGCATCCATAAGTTGCGCATTTAAAATATGAATTTGTTCACAGTGCTGGAAATGTGAAGAAAATGTTAGTAAATATTCCTTCAAATTATCATTTGATAACGATGCTTCTATTTTTACCAAAACCTTTCGTAATACTGGGGGTACCCCAACTTCGCCACTCATCTTAAATTGAGCGAATCAATTGAAATGACAGAAACTGACTCATAACTCAGAAAAAGAGTTGTGATTCGTTCCTATAGTTTCAATTCGAAAAGTGATACAGCAAATTTTTAGTGAAAAGAAAAATTAATTTCTGAACACATTTAAAAACAGCTATTGAAGAATAGACTTTCGATTCTGGCGAAATACCAATACCGCAAGAGGAAGGATTATAAAATCCACCTTTTCTCGTTCCTGAACTGCTATTTCTGCATTTCCTTTATGCTGCAGCATTTCGTCTCGAATCTCGGAAGTCACTGCACTTAATTCCTCTGCCACTTTCATCGTATTTTGCAGTTTCATTTCAAGCGTATTATGTTCTGCCTTCTTATAAGAGATAAATATGATCTTGGGGATAATAAGTTCGACAACAAAAGCGTATGCCAAATATAAAAAAATTCCCATATAAAATCTCTGTTCGAAAGTTCAATATTTGTGCACTATTTCCTCATTATTATTTAATCACAATTTGCTCTTAAATAAGTTTCTGTCGCAACGAAATTTTATAATAACTCAAATAGTCTTACTGTATTGCCTTCTACATCTTGCAAACGTTTCTCGAGTAAAGCGTTCGTTTTGCTCAAATGTTCGATTTGGCAATCTTGATTCTGGAAAGGAAGAGAAAAAGGTACGGTTGCAATGAATATAAGCAAACTATAAAAAATCTTCCCAATAAAGAGATTATTCCAAGAAATTCAATAGAATATTTGCCGTATGAAAAAGTGGTAAGACCAAAAAAACGAATAAGGAAAAGATATATTTATGACACTTCATATAACTTCTACTGAATGTTGAGAGACTATGAACCAGAAGCTTAAGAAAGAAAATCTTCTAGAGCTATAGACTGCTGTTTTTTTCAGGATTTAGAAAAATCCTTGCCTGTCCATACTATCGAAATATAAAAGTTAATTATGTTGAAGCGAATAGCGAAAAATTCAGTATGATTCGAATCACCATCTATCTCATTATACGCCACGTCTTCTATTTCATGCCGACCTTATTTAGATCACATGTGAAGTATCCTTATGATATGTAAATAAATCCCACCTGTAATTCCTTCCTTATTTGTTGCATTGCTTGTAATCGTTGATTTAACTCCAATTCCTGCTGAGAACAACGATTTTTACTAGAGTTTAGCTCCTAAAAATAAGGATAACGAAATCATCCTAGCATTTACAGCTATTATTATACAGACCTTCTATTAGTTTAGATCTTTTACTAAAAATGTATCAAACAGCTACTCTCATAAACAAAAGATATATTATCTCTTTAAAAATAAGAATATTACAGCTATACGTAACTGCTCAACTGAGCGCACACGTACATTCTGAAAAAGAAACTGTGGTATTTACGCTTATCTTTGATTAATACCAACCTCTTAATTCATTTATATACTGTATGATTTAGTTAATAGCTCAAACTCATTCATATCAACTCTAATTCACCAAATAAAGAAGTGAACAGATAAATGAATGAACAAAAAGTTTTCTTCAATTGAAAAAATGAAATAAAATTTAAAAAATTAAAGCATACAGCTTTTAATCGATCAATTTGCTGCTGATATGGTTTGGTATCAACGGGTGGTGGCGTCGAGTGGATAAGAGATTGTGCCTTTTTCATCTCTTCCCTCAATGCAGCAAATTCTCTTTGCAACTGAGAGAAAATTAAAAACGAAGTTTAAAAACCTTTATTCATACAATATTCACTGATAAAGAACTAAAAAACGGTTAAATTCCAAATAAATTTCCTCGTCTGTTCAAAGTTGTATCTCTACTTTCAAATCCTTTTTTTTCGTCTCTGACATTATTCGAAGTTTTGGAACGTACAGAACATAATTACATCAGAATTAAATTTTTCATCATCAATTGGTGAAAATACTACTAGATGAGATAAAAAGCTGTACCTGATCATATTTTCGCTGTAAGTACGACTTCTCTTGTGTATTATTACTTAATTGAGTGCACACTGTTTGCTCAAACAATTTGTACTTTCTCTTTTCCTCGGTTAACGTTTTCCTGGCAAAAAATATAACACATACTCTCACAGCATTTACCAGTTAGTTATTCAATAAATGGGAACACAATGAATAAGAAGAATGTTATATCCCCAAACTTTTGCTGAATGGAAAATCAACAATTATTTATATAGTAAATAAAAAAGTTGGAGTTAAAAAGGAAACTACAACTCTTCATGATTGTTATCCACTGAAAATTTATTACTCTAGGAGATCTTTCACCGGTGGTATGATTCCATAAATAGCGAGATCATTTTACTTACTGGAGCATAGCAATTTCTGAATCCTTTTGTTCGGCTGCGGTAAGTTTATTGGTACATTGCAAGACGAGGCGATCTTTATCGGCGACTTGTTTTCTCATTAAAGCTATTTCATCATTTAATTTGGCTCTCTGAAATTCAAGACATCGGAAAATAAATTTAACAACATTAATAAATTGGATAATATCCCAACTAATTAATATAGCTTGCTAAAATAAAAATCTAATTAATAACTTTGTCCACTGAAAATTATTGCTAACTATTTCTAGCGCTAAGCTGAATCACTTTGCATTTCAATAACACATTCTGTCATTGAAGGGAATATTACGTAAGCAAAAAAAGGACTAAGCTAGTCAAGTAACCTGCGTATTCACGTTGTTGATATAGTTTGTGAAGAACGTGACATATTCTGGCTCAAGCTCTGCAATAGCATTCAAACGTGTTTGAAATTTGTTAGCGTTGATATCTTTTAATGGGTTCCCTGAAAAAAAAAACTGCTATTTCATTTATAAGTTATCATTAAAAAATTATAAACGGGAAGATGTAATGGCAAGGATTTCATATATAGTGAATTACCATTGGATCCTTCTTGACAGTTAGAATTATTAATAGTATCATTACAATGAATCTTTTGCCAACCTTTCTTTTGCAGGTTTTTCTCTTCACTTTCGAGAGGTAAGACTTCCACAGCTGGAACAATTTCTTCTGCCATTTTGACTTCCGCCTTTACGATTTGACGCAAATGTTCTCCATTCCGTCGTGCACGATTCTTTTTCTTCGCTTTTCGTTCGCCAACTTAAAATTTTACATTCGATTTATGAATTAAATTTTGTCTGAATAAAAATCTAAAAAAAAAAGAAAAAAGTTTTGAAGATATTGCTAATTATCCTATAAGACATGTAAATGAATGAAAAATGATAAAGATCAACAAATAGCAGTTAATTTTCGAAAACGGATCTACTCACAGCGAGCGCTATGATTTCACTCCACAAAATCAGAATACCAATCGTTAAAAAATTCTACCCGAAACGCTGAAGAGATCATACAGTGTTAACATTGAGTATTATGAGAAATTTAAGCTCCTAAATGTGAAAAACTAACTATCAGTGCGCTTATTTTCATCATGAAGAACGTTTGCAGTAGATACCAGCTCATTTATCTTCTCGGCTATATTCTGCTGCCCTGATAAATCTCCCATACTCTTGGCAACGGAAACTTTTTCATCCTTCGCTGACTCTATATGTTGCTTGATTTAATTCCAAAGTTAAAATATGAAAAAGCAAATGATTACGTTAGGAACTTTTTCCAAAAAAGTCTTCAACAGCACAGTTGAATCATGCTAGCTAGCAGTTTGTAACCAACGAGATACATTTAATAGCCTCCCCATGAGAATTATGTGGTAATATGATATAATGCCATTAAAGAACTTATCAAAAAAGCTAAAACAAATAAAAACTTAAATTGTGAGTTCGGTAATTGCCATCACTTTCCATATATAAAAAGAAAAAGTAAGAGAAGTAAACAAACCATCCATCAACTGTTTGCTCTTAGGTTTTTTACGATTAGGCGTCGCATCAGCTTCATCACCATCTGTACCATTCATTTCTTTGGCTCCATTCGTCGATGATCGAACATAAAGTAAATTACCATTTGTAGGTTTCTGGAAATGAAAAGAAAGAAATTATTTACCAATATACTCTACAAAATCATTAAAAAATATGGCATTTGTATTTCTGACATTACAAAATATAACATCGCTTCAACAGACGCGATAAATTCCTATAGTATGTAAACCCATCCTTGTTGTAACATAAAGATATAAGTCTACTGCATAAATAACTATTTGGAATATTTACGATAGTCATGTGATGTAGAATACTTTGTTAAGTGGTCAACTTCAGGATGACAAATTTTTTCAGCCTTTAGCTGCATAATTCATAGCGAAAAACATTACTTTCCTTGAATAAATCACCAACGAATAATTTCACCCATTTAAATACTTACTTCACCCCGATTTTGCTTTTCTTCTGCCCCGAAATCTTTTTTCTTTTCACCATTCTTCCCTTTGTTCTTCTTTGCGTTTTTTGTCTTATTCGCACGATCCTCAGTGAGCAATCGTAAAGCATTTTCACCATAAGCCTACAAAAGAAGAAACATAATGCAAAACTGACCATTGATAATAAACGTACCACAAGTCACTATATCCTGAAAACTTGCTCTCTTACCTTGAACAAAACAATACTTTGTAAAAAACCAACTCCAACTTACCCGATTCTTATATTTTATTATTATATCAGATAAAAATTAGGCGATTGTTGGAAAAAAAACCTTTTCAAAATCAGTTTCATTCGGGTACATCTTAAAGACAATGATCGAAATTACAGTAATCAAAACAGCAATTACTGCCACAAATCCGAGTGATGTCGGATCCATCCCCTAAAAAAGTAGCTTCAAGTTACCTAATATAAATAGCAAATGATGCACGTTAAATTTTGCGAACGACGGTCGTTCCTATTATGTTTCATATTCATTTAGTTCGCACACCAAAAGAAGGGATCAATCCATAAACTAATTCGCACACCAAAAGAAGGGATCAATCCATAAACTAATTTAAATATGTTCTGCTTTGAAATTTTTGACAGCAGTATAATGAAAGTGGGAATAAAATGCTACATCTCCCATACCACTCCCGAGAACAACTTCATCAACTTATGCAAGCTATAAGTTTCTAATTTTACCAGTGAACGATTTAAAAAAATCATTATATGCGAGATCCTATGACAATCATTCACTGCCAGGATGATTGTTATTTCCTGAAGTATTGCGGAATTCCTTGGTATTCTGATTTAAAGTCCTATAAAAACCTTTAATAGCTGAAACCACTGAAAATTATAAACACTAGAGATAAACCTATCAAGTCGTTCCTACAACCTTAAGCGAGAAGTATGCAGAACTCTTACCCGATCAATGACTGATTCTCATGAAAAATACCAAATAATAACAAACACTAATCTATATTAACCAATAATTGTACCTTGTAAACATTTATTTTACATATTCAAATTCGGAACTGAAATAAAAAGGAACGATAAATAGAATTAGCAGAAAAAAGTGGCAGACCAATAACTAAATTAAAAGTTGGCAAATGTGAATTGCTATAAAAAAACGTTGGGGAAAGCATGCTAGGCCCCGCTAGATCGATATTCTGAGGCCAATGAGTTATATTTCTTCAACTGATTTCGTTAGTAATACTTTCGAATGAAAAATACTGTGTAACTTGGCAAAAAAAGAATAAAAGAATGTCAAAATATACTTACTAATATTCAAGAAAATGTACATGAAAATGAGATACAATTCTTTGATGCTACAATCTCCAAATTTAACCTACAATGGTTGCAAATCTAAGAATAGCTGAAAGTGCAAGCATCACTGAAGAAAGAATTTTCACACTTCGCTGAACTAAATTTAGTAATGAAATGAATAATGTACATTCTCCGTAAGAGATCAATTTTTCATATATTTTTACAAAAATTTCTCTAGAAGGATATGAATAACTCTTTCGTAATAGGCGTCACCAACGTTCGATAACCATCTATAAGAGTGCATATCCAAAAATGCATAGTGTAATGATATATGAAATAAGGTATAGTACTCAATCACTAATGTGTTTCCGATAATGAAAGCATGAAATCTATACAGATCAAACGGAACTATAACTTGGTAGTCCATATCTTAAATATTTGATTTAAGATGCCAGCTTCCTGCCAAATAAAACGGATCTTTTCATCAAAATTTCCAGATCTACAAAAAAATGTCTTAATTCCACCTTATAACTTTGAAAAAAAAGGTTATGAGCATTTATGCCATCGCGATCATCATCCAAATATTTGTGCTGGTATTACCCAGTTTCTGAGATGAAAAATGGACCGCAAAGTAGAAAGATTATGTGTTGCTGTCAGAAGAAATTTGTTTTTGAACTAATTTTTTCTTCTTTTTTGCAAAGTGATAATCATTTGTAGGTTTGGAAATTTTGCTGAAAAGATATCCGTTTTATTTGGCAGAAAGCTGTTTAAGGCATCTCAAATCAAATATTGGTAAGGTATACACATAACTATCAAGTTATAGTTCCGTTTGATCTGCGTAAATTTCATGCTTTCATTAGCGGAAACACATCAACGATTAAGTGTTAAATATTTTATATTTCATTATATTGTGCATTTTTTGATATGCATTCTTATAGATATGGTTATTTGATATATTCTATTTGCATATTTACATTCCATATTGCAGTACCTAGGTTATAGGACATTATTGACCTTATTACGAAATAGTTATTCATCTCCTTCTAGAGAAATATTCCTAAAATCTCTTGTGGAGAATGTACATTATTCATTTCATTAACAATTTTAGTTCAGCGAAGGACCAAAATTTCTCCTTCAGTAATGCTTGTTTTACTTTCCACCTTCATTTAAATGGCTACGAAAAAAAACGAATTAACATTTCATAATATATAATGAATTTCTGACTACTAATTTATTAATCGTTCGTCGCAATCGAGCTTTCCATATCACTTTTTACTCGAACATTACATGAGAAAAATTGTTAACGAAAATCAAAAAACGTCATTGAATGCAAGTGATGCGAAAAAGACCAGTATTGATAGTAATTAGGTTAAACGTTCTTTATGTTTCTCTGAACGAGGAGAAATAATCGTAATAATGCATAATCCGACCTCTCTCTCTCTCTTTTTCGGGAAATCATCCTTCAGAAACGGAATAAACTCTATGCAAAATTATGAAATTATGACAGAAATGGAACTCATTTTTTTATCTGACTGATCAAATGTTAAATGATTGAAATTAACGGAAATATTTCATGGAGCACTACAGCAGTACACGTCGTTTCAGCGGGTAATTAACAAGAATTAGTCTAAATAAGATCCCAAACAATGTTAAGATTTGACGAGTGAAAAAATGCTACGTAGGTAACTTGCACTGTATATTGTTAATCCCTTCTTCAGATATGACCATTAATTCGATAGATATAGTACGGTTAAATTGTAAAGCAGAAACATTATAAATAAAGAAATCAATTGAATGCGCTGATAGCAACAAGTTTCATATATCAGCATGGATCATGCATATTCCCATTTTTTCATTTAAATTAAATAAGCTAAGAGAAGAAAACAAACAGCACAGATTATCATGGTTTAGAAAAGAGGACGGTATTAGGAGCAGCCAAATTCATTATAACTTATTGGCGAAAATCAAAATGCCGTGGGAATATGAATGTCTTCAACCAAAGGATAATCATGTAGCTAAATTTTGGGTTAAAAATTTGCGGGCAGTTAAATTTCTGCAGAAAAAAGACCCAGAAAATCGGGTAATTCGATAAGGTGAGAAGAAAAAAGGAACTCTGGTAGGTTCCATGATTAATCATATGGAAAGCATAAATCATCCATTAATGGAATGATCGCAGCGCACTAATAAAAAATACGGTAAGCATTCACAAGACAAATTTGCAAATTAATTTTGAAAAATATGTGAAAAAAACATTTTTTTTTCCTATACAATTATCATGAGATATTAACAAGCTACTTGAAGGAATTAATAACTATGAACGAGAACTTGAAAGCACAAATGGTAACATGACAGTAAAATTGAAACAAAGTTGACAATTCCAATTTATTTTGGTAATAGTTTATTTCATTTATCGATTCATCATTTCTGGAATGAACTACGGATTTTGATCAGTAGTGAACACCACACAGGTGATAATCAAAATAGGATTGGAAATGAAAAAAACTAAGAACTTTTAAATTAATGATGAATATCAATGAAATGATCGCAGTTAGAGACTTATATCCATCATTCCAAATTTGGTGATATTATCATTCCAAATTTGCAGCCATTTTTTTTTTTATAGCAAGTAATCTCCATAGTTCGATTACCGATCTAGTGAAAGGATAATGATGCTGTCGTATGGGCACTAATGAGTAGAAAGGAATGATGCGAAAAGGATGCAATTTTAAAGAATGAAGAATGCAATATAAACATTTAAATCGAGTTTCATAATGACAAAATTACCAAATAAACTTCAAGTTGGAACTCTGCGATCTCCCAAATCTCAAATGACTGCAATCAAAACGCGAACTCAAAAATCGGAAACTTCATTGTCCACGTTCGACGTTTGATGGATTCTCAATATGGAACATTTCGCTATTCTTCGAACTGTCTGGCACTCTCTAACAAACACAACAAAATTTTTTTGTTCTAGTTGTCTCAAATATTCTATTTTGGTATCAAACATTTAAAAGTAGCCTGGAATAAAAGTTAATGGTTTTGGGAGATTTCCATTAGTGTGGATGACTTGCTTTTCCGGGACATTTGCTTCACCTGAGTAGGTGAGTCCCATATTTTTTGGGGAAGGTTTTTGCCGGATTATGATGATAGCATTACTGTGAATCAGGTATGACTTGTTAAAATAGGTGACTGATTTCCATTAGTGTGGATTGTTGTGAGCCGAATTCCGGAATTATGTTATGTTCATATTTCACGCATTCAAAACTGCGTGAGAAATTAGAGTTGGTATATAGCAGGATTTTATGTGAGATATAGGATTTGATGTTGAGATTATCAATATGGCCGTCGAGGTTATCGCTTTACCAGATTTTTTTCACTATTTTAGAATTGTTACTTACAGGTAAATATAACTGCTAGAAATGGCGAAGAGTATTCGGTCGAAATCAAAGCGACGAGTACGTGCTATTAAGCGTGAACGACTCGCACCACGTATATTAAAGCGTTTGCAGACAACTGTCTCAAATCTTGATGATAATAAAATAAAAATGGAAGCTGATAATTCTGGTAACTTTTTTCATTTGCCTACTGTCGTTTTTTCAAGCATCCTGTGGAATGTCATAAATAGACACTATATGAACGGAATAGAGTTATATCACGCTGAAACCGTTATCAATTTATATCTGTTAGGATAATAGGAATAAGTGTTAGGTACTGAAGGCGAATAGCGGTTAAACCTGGAATGGCTTGATATGGCCTAATCTAGGATAAGAATTTTAGAATGAACGTGTTGAGTTGCTTTTGTTTGCGTTTGTTTGTCGTATTTCTCGAAATTCTTTCAGTGGTTATAGTGGTATATAAGTTTAGATGTACTAGTCATAGACGAATTCACTATGCTTTTTCCCAATTATCATTCACTTATTGCAGACTTGGTAGATGACTCTAATATCCAGTTTTCAACGGTGAGTCTCGGTGCATAAAAGTTATTGGGATTTCCAAAAGACAGTATTTCGTATCTTCTCCTTTCACAAAGAAGAAAAGCGATCCTGTTGAGCTTTTTTGATTTTGAGGAAAAAAGGAGGGATGATCGAGAATTTAGCTTGTATAAGAATGTATTAAAGATACGTTTCATAATTATGTGTTGATCAATATTGATCGGAACCGTGATCAACACAAGCTATGTAGGAAGGGTTAGTTCGGTTTCGCGTAAGTGGGAAAGTTTTAATTGGGATGATAGTATTTGTGCTTGATAAAAATGATTCTATCTTTGCATCGTTGCAGACAGAAGTTAATACACTGGATGTGTTCGGCTTTTTTGATCTGTAATAGATTCCCTTTTTGTTTGTTGCTGTTCCATTAGAAGCATATGGCGGGGAACGAGTGAATGGTAGGGTGAAAAGAAGAATTATTACTTTATTCTTTTTTTGCACTTATAGGCGTAAAATAAGGTAATTAGAAATGTTTTTTGAAATTTTAGATGGAAACTGACAGTGAACGTTTGAATTTGAAAACGAAAAGACGACGCGGTTCATATCCGATATGGCTAACCCAACGGAAGATAAAGAAGAAGGAGTTGCTAAACCAACGGAAGATAAAAAAAAAGAAGCGTGATCAAAGAATTAAAAATGCGAGAAAAGGGAAAGCACAAAGAATTCACTGAATTTGCATCTAACTTTGGGTCTTTTCAAATCAAAATGTTGACTTCCGTTTGTATCGTTCTCAATAATTTCTCGTTGATGTATTATTTATAAATCTCTTTAATAAAATGTATTCGTTTGAGAAGTAAACCAATTTCTCAAATCGGAATTAGTGTCAAGTTGTTACAAATATTCTTAGCACCACTAATGAAAGTCCTTAGTTTGTCAAATTTATAAGGAGCAAATACTATAAAAACATTCTAGCTGTTGAAGTTGACTGCTGAATGTTGGATTGCTCGTAAATTAACGCGCATGTATTGTTTAATAAGGTAACGCCGGTTTGAAGTTTTCACTTTAAGTAATATTGTATTAACTTCTGGATTGTCGAGTATTATGAAAAATTAAACATATATATGCATATAGTAGTATATGTACGCAATATTATGTTTGTTGTTTACAGTGTAAGAATATAAAAAATTGAATTCAATCACTGCACTACCACAACTTACCACCAAATCATTATAATGATCATTAATTCAGCAAGAAATTGACACTATTATCTTTCCCAATAGCTATGCTTGCTGAATGCTATAATCAGATATCATGCTTAACCAGATATCATTTACTGTGATTTTTACCGTAGGTACGTAACTGCTGCATGGCATTCGAATACTGTGATATTCCTGGATACTGTGTTTCATCCCAACAATTATGTTCCCGGATACTGTGTCTCATCCAAAATACTAAAATTAATCGCTAAAAACTGTGATGTCCCTGTAAATGTGTTGAAAAATATTATAGTTATGCGTATGTTGGGATGAATTAAATGAAACTGAAATTAAAAAATGAATTTCGAATGTGATAGCAAGTGAGCATTACGTGTATGTGTGTGTATGTGTGTGTGTGTGTGTGTGTGTGTATGTTTGTGTAATATATATATATGCTAACAAAGTTCAATTTATATTTCAAATGAGATGAATGCTTAGATGAGAAGTAGAAAAGATTTAAAGCAATGCTGTCAGTAGTAATAGTAATACTGATTGTGCTGATCGGGTTAGTTTAGCTTGTGTTTATACAACAATGTATTCCTCCGGCATTCTCCTCTTCCTCCATCTTCTCCCTTACAATATTAATAGTTTTGCGGATGAAATAACGCCTAAAACTGCTAAAATATGGACTATATACTATCCACATCAATTTGATAGAAGTAAGTAAGCAAAGAAGCTAATTATTATCATTTGATTTTCATTTCTTCTCCTATCACATTTCCCATTTTTTCCCAATTATCAAAAGATATTTTGATGGTTAATTGATGAAATGAAGCGAAGCATAATTAAGCATTATCAGCAAGTGAAACAAATAATTATTCATTATTATTATTATTAATGATTTATTATCATTTATTATTTGTTTATTATTATTTATTATTCATTATTATTTATTTATTACTATTTATTTATTATTATTTATTTATTATTATTTATTTATTATTGTTTATTTATTATTTATTATTTATTATTATTTATTTATTATTATTTATTTATTATTATTTATTTATTTGTTATTACTTATTTATTATTATTTATTTATTATTATTTATTTGTTATTATTTATTTTTTATTGTTTATTATTATTTATTATTGATTATTATTACTAATTATTATTTATCTTTATTATTAATTATTATTAATGATTATTGTCATTATTAATTATTATTATTGTTAGCTTTTATTATTATTAATTGTTATTATTTATTATTATTATTGTTATTATTATCAATATTATTGTTATTTTTAAAATATTTTTATATAAGAATTATTTATTCGTCTTTATTGAAATAAATAATTGATCTATTAAATACAAAAAAAAATTTTACAATTTTCATTTCTTATAATATCAATATTTTTATCTCTAAAAATATCAATATTTTAGCGAATGAACGAATTACTAATTTACTTAGCCATTAATTAACCATTAATTAATCAAATATATATGCTTCTATTTGTCGTTATATGCGGAATTTAAGTAATGATATAATCGTGTATTAAGAATAAAAATCGAAAACAGTAAGTTTATTTTCTTGCAATAATAAGTATATATTTGCAGTGATAAGTGACAATGATATTAATAATAAATAGCTAAACAGAAGCTTGAAATATCAATCGTATTTAAAACATTTTGTTTAATTCTTTCATTAATTATACTATAAACAATTAGTTTAATTTCTTCAATCGATATATCTTCTTCCTTTCTTCTTACTCTATCAAAGATTGACCAAAAATATTTGTCTAGCTTATTTTAAATTAATTAACAAAATATGTTATACGGTGTTTTAATATTAATTCAACCAACTGTCATTGTGCTCTTGATGAATATTAAATTTCAAATTGTGAATATTAAATTCTCTTGATGAATATTAAAATTTTGATGATGAATATTAAATTTCATTAATAACTTAATAAATGGTTAATTGATTAATTTAATTTAAATCATAATTTGATGGAAATTATTTCAGATAAATATTGTCAAACATTGAAATGTTCAATCGATGAGTTATGTGTTGTAAGTGAAAAAACAGGACGTTGCATTAAAAATGATAAACTTCACGATATGTATGTTTTGTTTATTGTTTTATTTATAAAAATGGATTTGTTTATATGAATGGAAGAATATATTATTGTTTAAATGATATATTTGATGACTCATTCGTTATTAATTGTTGGTAGTTTGGAAATTTGAATTTGAATTTGAAATTTCAACGATAAATCTTATTATACTGCTTAAATCGAAATATTAAATCAACAGTATCAATCAACAGTATATCATACTGTTAATGTAACGTTACCGTATATGCGAAATGAAATTATTATTATTTTATTTCCTTTCAAAATTATTCTGTATTTTTCGCATGTAATTTAATTATGTTTTTTTTTGTTTTTTCTGGTGCTAAAGTTTAATTTAGTTTCTTTTAATTATTTAATTTAATTTCAATTTATCTACGCTATGATGATATCGATAATAATAGTGATCATCTGATGATAATAATAATAATAGCAGTAATCATATGATGATAACAATAATAATAACAGTGATCATATGCCAGAAATAATAATGGTGCTTTTTTTTCTACAGAGATGGTGTCCATATTGATTTTGCCACCGGTAAATTAATCGATCATCATGCCGAGGTGATATATTGCTATAAAATATTGTTGACACTTGTGGTCAATATATTAATGCTGCCAATTAATTAATTAATTACTTTCGCTCATTGATATTTATAATTATTAAATTCTAATTTTTTTAAAGCATTTTCAGGAAGCAAGCTATCATTATAGGACAGGTCGAATAAAACCTCAGCATAAGCATGAACATTTACCGCGACACTATCAGCATGCTGAAACGACGGATTACGGTATTCATGAACTTCAGTATTCTGAAGAATTCTAAAACATGAATAAATTTTAGACATGAAGATGGAAGATGAAAAAATTTTGGAAATTTTGAAATTTACACTTCATAAATGATGAGTACTTTTCAGTCATCATTTTTTCAACATTTCCTTTTTTTTTCAACTTCCGGCTTATCCAGTTGAACTGATCAGTAATTCTAATTTATTTATTATTTTCATATATGAAAACTCGTTTCATTTAATATCATACTATAAACGAAAAATAAATTATGAATAAATGAAATGATTTACCTAAATTTATAGAGAGGTAGAAAAGAATACGAATTAAGAGATTCAATGGAAATATTCGAATACATTTTGAAATAATGAAACATTAAAAATGAAATTATGTACGAAAAGGTTTTATATAGTAGAAAACTCTCAATTGATATCTTATCAGATACAATACAATGTCATTATTATCACTTATTATTATCATAATTATTATCACTTACAATGTAGTTATTATCACTGCATATTTTCATATTCATATTTAAGGAATAATAATAATGGTAAAATTAATATTTAAATAATAAGTGATATTGATGGATGAAGAAAAAAGAATAAACAAACTTAATAACTAATTTCAACTTATTTTTAAAATATTTTTTTGTTTGATTAAATTTTCTTTTATTTGATCAGTAAATATAATTTTTCTCCTTATCATATTGATAATGTTAAAAATGAGCTATCATTATACAACGATATCACAGTGTTTAATAATAATAATAATAGTAGTGATAATAATAATAATGATAATAATGATAGTAATAATCACAATATTATAATAACAATGGGTTAAAGTTTATGATATTCAGATATGAATTAGTCAATTGATATCTCAAACATTAATTAGGAAAAGACAAATGAATTAGTTGTTACCCATGAAATTTATCATTTATCTATATAAATGATTGCATATTATTTAAATGATTGCATATTATTAACGTCTACTTAATTTGCAAATTCGTTTTTTATTTTGCTTTTCTCCTTTATAGCATATTTCATTCGGATGTTATATTTTATCCGGTTGCTCACATTTACTACTATTTTATCCGGAAAAAGAATTGAATTGAAATGTCTTCCGTTTCTACCGGTTTAATAAATAAATATAGTATTTACAGAATGTGATGAGAAAAAGCTGCACAGTATTGGTGGACGATTATTGCAATGGTTCAGTGAAATGCATAAATTGGCAACTGTCGATTCTGGATTACCATTACACAGTATGTACTGCTTTTTATCATTTTACAGAAGTACTTAATACCGTATTCCACGTATTACTTTCTGCAAGATAATTGATTTTATTTAAAAAAAAAATAATGAAATAATTAAATTATTCCAATAAGAATAAAATTCGCTGTAACTGTAGATATCTTATTCAAAAAAATTTTTTTATGGAAATGGAAATTTCAATTTTATAGGTAAATTCAATTTCTAAATAAATTCAAATTACAGTATTAAAAAAAATACGATATAAGATTTGAGATCAGCATAAAGTTAGCAATAAAATGAATGATCTTAAAATGAATGATCCATGTACGGTAGGGTTATTTATTCATTTATTTTATTT